TCCGATCTTTCAACCATTAACTGGCGTACTTGGCGAAAATTAAACAAGCCGACCTTATTAAAAACGGATAAAACAGCAAAATCCGTAACTGGCGAAAAGATTAACATTTTAGGTGAGGTAATACTTACAGTAACACTAAATGGAGTTACCAAAAAGCTCAAAGCCTACGTATTGAAAACTTCAGATAACTTATTTGGAACAGATTGGATAGAAAAATTCAATCTTTGGGATTGCCCAATGAGTACATTTTGTCTCAAGATACAAAGTACAACGTCCAATTTGGTAAATCTAAAAAAGGAACCCAAACAACAATTTCCCCAGGTTTTTTTTGGCGGCCTTGGGAAATGTACTAAAATGAAAGCTAAGTTCAAGGTGAAGGACGGTGCACAACCGGTATTCAAAAAGAAACGAAATGTCCCTTTCGCTGCTCTAGAGCAAATTAACAAAGAGTTAGATAGAGTCGAACAAGCAGGTAGTCTGTCAAAAACAGATTTCAGTGAGTGGGCAGCACCTACGGTCTACGTAAAAAAGAAGTCCAATCAAATACGAGCCAACGCGATCAGAAACATGCCGGCCCCAGATAACGTTCAAGCGTTACAAATCTTCCTCGGCCTAGCTAACTTTTACCAAGGGTTCATTAAAAACATGCAAAATTTGAGAGGGCCTCTCAACCAACTTTTAAAAAAGGACAAACCATGGTCATGGACCCCGGAGTGCCAAGACGCATTCGAGAAGATCAAGAAAACTCTTACTTCAGACCTCTCCCTCATCCATTGCGACCCTAGTCTCGACATCATAGTCGCAAGTGATGCAAGCTCGTACGGCATTGGTGCTTGCATTCTGCATAAACTTGCCAGATGGTTCGCGAAAAGCTGTGGCTCACGCATCAAGATCTCTAGTTCGATCTCGACATGCCCCAAGTCTCTCCTGAAGTGCGACGCTCAGGAAGGAAAAAGAAATTTACTCAACCGCTCGACGTAAATCCCAAGAGGAAAAAGTATTAACAGTTTTATTTTTTCTCTCCTTTTCAAAAAGAAAACTCTTGGAAGGGGGGTATTGTGAGACCGGAACTACCTACACACTTGACTCTTCCAGGTCTATATTAAGTATGCGACACAACACTCTAGAGAGAGACACAGAGAGACAGTGAGAGCCGCGTACGACTACCAGTATTGGACACTAACATATAGTAAGCTCCGCTTACACTATCTCTGTAACCTGTTGTTAATATATCTTTCTTACATCTAATCCGTGTTCCGTGTTTTCCTTCTGTGGTCCCGACTTTGGCCCCACATCAACAACAATATATCATCTCACCGAATTCATTCAACTTTTACAGCGATGTAACTTTAAGAGAAATATTTTAGAAGTCCTGCCAGGATTTATTAACGGTGGGCACAATCTTAACAACGTAAGATATGCAGACGACACCGTGTTGATGGCATACAAAAACTAACAAATCTATAGGATCTCATAGAAAAAGGTAGTAAAGAAAAGCAAGAATAAAAGACTAACTATACACCGTAAAAAGACAATGTACGGTTTTCAGTAAGAGAAACATCCCAAGAGACGAGCTATGAACTGAATGAATGTCAAAATCAAACAAGCGTAGAAGCGGAGACGTGTTTTTACAGATTATGGAAAATGTAACACTGAAATCAGAAGATTCATTGAAATATCAAAAGATCCTTTGCAAACAAAGTATTAAGAAACAGGGAAATTTCGTAACAAAAAAAAGTGTGCTTAACTGTTATGTTATACCAATCCTCATATACGGAAATGAATGCTGAACAATCTCTTCACAGATGAAAAGGAGACTTGAATCAACAAACTTATGGTTCTACAAAAGGATGCTGAGAATAGTGTGAATAGAATGGACAGAATATGTTGGCAACGAACAAGTTTTAAGGAAAATGAAAGCAAAAATTTATTTAGAATAAGAAAGAGGGTTGAAATTTTTGAAAATTTGATATTCAAAAGATATATTGAAGGCAAGAAGGGCAGAGAGACAAAATGTGAGTAACCTAACTCATGGGTTTGTATAAATGGATGACAGGAAACGGAACGGGATGGATAGTAAAGCAATAAATATTGCCAAGAGCTACAAAGGATAGGAAGCTATGGCGAAACATGATCGCCCATATCCTGGAAGAACACAGCACATACAAGAAGAGAAACAATAGGCCACATGTTTTCTGGTTTCTTTTCGACATCCTTTGTGATACTCGCGTAAAGTTCCTTGTGGAGCCGAGCTAGTCTTTTGTGTATGGAGATTAACTTTTGGGAATCGAATCAATGAATTTCATTGTAACCTTGCGCTTTCCAATTTGTAATTTTCTTCAGAATTCTGTTTATGTCTATTTTTTTTTGCTGTAATTCTCTTTTCAGGTTGTTTTTGTGTAGAAAGACTGACTAACTTTCTCTACACTTATTATTGAAACATAAACAGATCCTTCCACTATAACGTCTGCTTATGGAATAATGGCAAAAGGCGTGTCGCTAAGGCGAAGTGCTTTTCATTCACAATACTACTGTATTGTCAATCTATGACTTCTTGTGATTAAATTCTTCTTCATTTAACCTTTTCTTTCCAGAGTTTTCCTCACAATCTTACTAACCAACAACTATGAACGTCATACGAACGTTATAACAGTTGTCAGCCATTTTCTTTTCCTTACATTTTTACGTCCACTCTCTTCTAACCCTTTACCTATCGGTAAGAAATATTTTTGTGTTATTTTGAAATAATGTGTTATGTCTCAGTTGCAGAATTCTGTGCCGGTATATTTTCAACCTGTTTTTCCATAACTAAAACCATTTTCCTTCTGTTCCAGTTGCTGGTTACTTTTATAATCTATATAAGATAAATGCTAATGTCTCAGTGTATGACACTTTCTCAACTTTACTTCTAGAGGCCGTAGCCCAAAATATAAAATCCATTTTGGAATCAGATCGACACAGTGAGCAAATTAAAAACATTCCGTGTCGGATCCGGGCCTGCAATCCTGAAATTTTGATTTCCCAATTTTTCATTATTGTTTTCGGCGATTTTTTAACGTGATTTTTTGTGACGAATTTTTTGTACGATAACAATTTTTATAACTTGGAAATAAATTTGGGAATAATTGAAATTAATTGCGAATTCATCGAAAATCATCCATGAAATAAAAATAATTGTTTGTACGAAAAGTAAGGACCTACATATATCAAGTTGTCTTTAAATTAATTGGCGACAGAAGAATTATCGTTGAACTTTTAAAGGTAAGCTTTATAATACAATACGATACAATACTTAAATGCAGCGATCAATTTTGAGTTCTTCTGTAGTTTATTGTTGCCTATTGCATACGGCAGCAGTATGTCTCGCAAAAAAGAAATCTCCGACTTCAGAGGATTAGATTTCAATCAAAAGAGTCACGGCTACAGCGAGGAAAAGTCCTGTACAAATAAAACCCAGATCAAATGGCAGCCATGAGAGCTTCCAATGCTGAGAATATTCAAAGACCTAGGTACTCTCAAACTCATGAATAAGCCAAAAGTCCAGTCAAGAGCCCTCCGCAGGAGCTAACTTAACTGACACCCGATAGAGTGACTTTTAAGCTAATCTTTTATATTTTCTGAACTTATCACGCGACTGAATTTTACAAGCTTTTTTCCTGTGTCGATTCTCTTTATATAATTTTTATTTCATGTTCTTATCTCATCATTAATTCTTCTAAGGCGATTTGTTAGTCGCGGTGCTTTGATCTTATCTTTATTGATACTTTTTAATTTCAAACTTTCCTGTCGTGATCCTTGCTCCCAAATATATTTTTGTCGTAACATTTGATGGCGCATATATTCGCTAGTGACATAGATCACGCATATATTAGTTGGTGTATATATTTTGGGATGGCATTATGGGTAGCAAACTAATGGATCTATAGTGAGTTTCAGATGGTGTTCAGACATACTTATTATTAGAATGCAGACTTGAAGCTACTTTGCAAGAAGTAAATGAACGCTCTCAGGAAGATACGCAACAATACATTATTGTCTTCGAAATCAAGCAAAGAAATCTAATAATTTTTTTAATAAAAAGGAGTTCGAAAGACATTAAGGGGATGAAGTTTTCGACCTTTTATCATGATTAATAACTTACGGAATATACTGAAGAGGAATGTTCCTAGTGGCAAATGACAATTTAGCAGTAAAAACGAATGTAATGTGCAGTTTAGTTAATATAAAAAATACAACATATCATAAATCTTTAATGACTCTTAAAATTAGTTTCAATACATGGAGGATACATGTCATATTAATGTTGTAATGTTAACTTTCATGTTATTACAATGACATAGTTTTCAGTTTTTTGTTGCAAACAGTTTGTAAACTTTTCGCATTTTCTGTAATTATACTTTTACATTGTTATATAACTTTATATTTTCTTCATTTTCTTGTTTAATAATATCAAATTTTCACAATCCGGCAAAATTCATAAAATTTATAATATAAGAGTATCATGTAATGTATTATAATTTAAACATATTTGACCTATTAAAAAGCTGGACATATTTAGTCCAGCTTTTTAATAGGTCAAATATTTCCGTGAATCTTTATATTAGCTTTCTAAAAATTAGAATTTTAAATGGCTGATAATGTTTGATGCAGTGTCTCCTTTGTGTAAGTCTTGTATCTGTAACTTAATTTATGTTATCAAAGATTTTGATGGTAGTATGAGGGAATCGTCGAAATATAATCAAAATTCAATCATGGTGACAGAGAAAGCTTTTGATCTGGATTGGAAATCAAATATCATTTTTTCTAATAACAACTATCACGGCCTCGGTATAAGGGATAAAAACTCAGACATATCGACCATCGTTCAGTATTCTTACTACTAAGAAATACTTGTTGTTGTGTCTGCATATTTTGTTGTTGTTTCAGTTGGGCGTGAGGCCGTTAGGAGCTACCGTAATGCAGGCTGAGAAAATATCGAAACTGTTTATGGAAAAACCAACCCAATCGACTGGTGATCGAAGAAATAAACGTCGACCAAGCTAGCGGAAGATATTGCATTGATCTGAAAGAACTCTCCATTAAAATATCTTTTTTCAGTCGCACTTTCAAGACGTACGATACGACCAAGTGAACATACGAACCGAAGAAGAAACAGAAGAGGGGGGGGTTAGCGCAGAGGAAGAGTAGGAGGTAGTGTAGGGTGGAAGTAAAAGAATAAGAATTGAAAGAAAAGATGGAAGGGGAGGTGTTTACAGCTGAAAATGGAGAAAAGTATAAAGACGGATAAGGAAGAAGTGTAACCTGAAAAAAGAAAAGAAAATGGAAAAGAGATGGAAGAAATGGGATAACCAAGAAAAATGTCGTCATCAGTTATAGACATTGTAGAGCAAATATGTAGAACAGAATTTATAATAATAATGATAATGGGAACAGGGCAAGTGGCATAATATCAGGGATGTGAAGATAAATGCTGAAAAATTAGATTGTTTCCACAGATCTATTTGCCTTTGTCAATGCCGAAATGAAGTCATTTATGCATTCAATCTGCCTTTACATAAAACGCTGAAAGATAAAACCTTGTTTTCTCACTAGAGGAAGTGAAGTCATAAAAACGAACTTAAAATGAAAATATTTTTGGGAACAAAAGGTTTTTATCATTTACTTTCGCCTGCCTTTACAGATTAAGATTAATGATTAAGATTACAGATTAAGATTAATGGTAAACAAAATAGGTTGATGCAGTAAATGACTATTATCCTGTTAAACATACTAACATGCTGAACCTGGTTACTGCAAAAGAAAAAAAATTGAAATATATAAGTAGTCGTTCCAGACCTTATACACTTTCGTCGTTTCGATGAAAATAATTGTTTGAGGAATATTTGTAGTTATTAACTCCTTAGTTGATTTACAGGGCAGATTTCAACGAATTCTTCCAACTATTTTCTCTCAAATGTTTGGGAATGTTCATTCAAATAAACTCATTCTTTCTTTTCTTCAGAATATGAGTTTGTAAAAACGCGTTGATTTGGTATTAAAAGAAAATTTACGCTACTTACAGAAAAAGGTTACTCAAATACACGACTTATTGTAAGAAATTAATTAATTCTTATATCTTGTAAATGAGCTTGTATTTACAAGTTATATCAATCTGATATGTTGGACAAAGGTTCAAATACTTCAGTTTTTATTATCGACTCAAGCACAATGATTGTCTGGTGTTGTAGTTCTGCTCGTATAAAATAAGCAGTTAAAACCATAGATTTATCTTTTAACTAACTCTTTATATTTGGCACATCAAATAATATTAGTTAAACGTTTCAAAGACATTCAAATTATTTCTTTACATTGCCTTTGAAAAAGAGAAAACTAAATCAATTTTTTGATGAATGCAATGAGTGGAATATGTTCTCATTTAATATCCATTGAATTTTTTCATAAGTATAGATTTTATATAGCACATTCTGAGGGAGGTACCCCAATGAATTACCGCATTTTTCTGCTTACAAGACGCATTTTTCATTAAAATACCCTGAAAAATACATGTGCGTCTCCCAAGTAAGCTTGGACGTCATCACTTAATTGGCTTGACTGATAGAGATGTGGATTTATATGTTGAGTCATTACACTATAATGTTATCCATCTATCTAATTCTTTTATATGATGTAATCTCAGTATTTAGCTGTTACAAGTATTTCCAAGACGGGAGCCGAGCCACACGCTTAAACTAGCAGCGATGAGAGTCTTTCTGCTCTTAATCTTGATGGTGTAGGTAGAAATATCAGTTACCACCAGGCTGTCACACGTATCACAAGCTTTCCTTGTCCTGATCACCCATGGCAAGTTCATCGAAACGGTTTACTATCGCACACAAGCTACAAGTTGTATGGTATGCCAAAGAATACGGTAACAGAGCAGTAGAAAGACACTTTGGACCACCGCCTATCAAAAAATGATTCGGAAGTGGAGGAAACAAGAAGAAGGATTGAGATAGAAACAAGACAAAGCATAATTTAAGTCAAGTACCAGCAGTTAGAGAGAGACTTGTGTACATAGATAATGGAATACAGAAACTTGGGGGTTGCAGTTAGTACGAAAATGATAATATTGGAACCAAGAAATCTTGCAATTAACATGGGAGTAAAAGACTTCAAAGGGACTATGTCTTGATGTTTTCGGTTCATGAATCGCAAGAAGTTATGCTTACGAACAAGAACTAAAATATGTCAAAAAATGCCAGGTGACTATGAACAAAAAATACTGACTTTCCATCAATTCATCTTTAATGCTTAACCAGATCTGGAATATGGATGAAGTTCCTTTAACATTTAGCATACTTTCTAATAAAAGCAGAGATGTGAAAGGTACCAAATCAGTGGCTATTAAAACCACTGGTCATGAAAAGACTCACTGCACTACAGTTTTAGCTTGTTGCACTGATGGTACCAAATTACCGCCGTTGTTGATTTTCAAAATGATAACATTGCCCAAGGAAAATTGCCAGATGGAATTATGTTATTGTGCAGCACAAAGTCTGGATGGATGAAGCGGGAGTTAAAGTGTGGATGGAAAAAGTGTGGCCTACTATGAAAAAATGCATTGCTAGTATAGGATCAGTTCAGTGCATACGGGACCGACAACACTAAAAACTTAACAAGAGAAATGAACACAACGTTAACTATAATTCCTGGTGGCCTTACTTCCCAGCTGCAACCACTAGATTTGAACATCAACAAATTATTCAAGAATAACATGCAAGAAGAATGATCTAAATGGATGGCAGAGGGAAGACATGAAATGACCCCCCACCACGTGGAAGGATGAAACACACCCATCAATGGCTGAAGTGTGTGAATCTTGGAATGCTATTAATACTAAAATTGTTATAAAGTCATTCAAAAAGTGTGGTATGAGTAATGACATGGATGGTAGTGAGGATAATTTATTGTACATGCCTGGCGGTAGTGATGACTCTGCAGATGATAGTTTAGAGCTTTTACAATCAAACAGTGACGAGTTCATGGGATTTGAGCATGAATAAAATTTCTTTGATTGTTTTATATTTTTACATGCATATTTTTAATTTTTTTAATTCAATTTTATGAAAATAATCCACCCTTGGACAATGAAAAATTTATAGTATATTTACTAACCACCAACTAGTATGTCATTGCCATAGAAACAAAATCGGACGAGTGATTAAAGTAAACAATACGTGGCGCCAGTATGTGAGAGACTCATGGTGAATGTGTTGTTGTATGAGAATGCCTTTTTTTTATTAGGAATTTCTTTCCAATATTATGGTACGTCTTCCAAGCCGCAGCGTCTTGTAAGACGGAAAATACGGCATGTGCTCAACACGTACAAAAACTCTTTTCATTATAACAATTTACAAAATAATAATCGATGGAAAGAAACTGGAGTTCATTTATTTGTAACTAACAGAATAAATGTTTCATCAAAATACAACAAAAGAAAGTACAATCGATTTATCAATTGTTTGACTGCTTTAGCTTTTCTTCATCTCTTCACCCACATATATTCTACAATTTCAAATTACTTTTGCATGTGCAAATATCAATTTCTTTTATATCAATTTCTTTCTCGCAATCTCTCGAGATTTCTAAAATATGTGAAAATCTATGTTTCTTAAAGGGAATTGGCACAAAGACAATATTATATCATATTTTCCGAAGAAATATTTGAATTATATAAATGACCTCGAGTGTGATTCAGTGAAAATCGAGGATCGATGGATTTGAGACGACAATCGAATTGGTGCGTTTATGGTCAATACAGAGAAGACAACAAAATTTAGTGCATCTACATTGGCAAGAATAAGTATCACCTGTTTTTTTTAAAGAACCGGCGAAAGAATTCACATAAACACACGCACATACATACGTATATATGTGTGTGTCCGCACGAGCGCGTTCGTGTGCTTCCATATGAGACAATCGATTCAAATTGCAATAAATATTAAAATATTTTGCACTTTATTGAAATTATGTTTATCAGACTTCCTTATAATAACATTCAACTGACATTGACTAAAGAAAATTATAAATGGTATTTTGTTCAATTTCTTTACAGTGAAATTACCTTATATGAAAATAAAGAAAATAATTGACAATGTATACGATTTGCTTTGTGACACCTCGGCGTGGTGTAATGGTTAGCAAGCTTGTCTCGCTAAATCAGTTACAACAGAAAAGTGTGTTCGATCCTCACTCGGTGCCCCCTACTTTCGTCCTTGTGGAAAAATAAAATAACTATATGATTTGCTTTTATTCATTTTTTTTTTTATTTTAGACGCATAATATATTTAAAAACACGCACAACTGATATTTGTTGGAAATCCTAAAAAAACGCAGGTTTTCTTTCATTGATGTAAGACAACAAATTCTTCTTTTTCTTCAGTAACTTGAGTCATATGAGAGCGATTATCTGTCCCTTCTTGTCCGTTAGTAATGCCTTCAATCACACATACAGAAACTCATATAGACGTTCTCACTTTTTCATACACGCACGTATCTGTAAATAAATATGTGTATATATAATTTCATAGCAAGGATCAAATATTGGAATTTTATAACTATGTGCATTCAAGTTTATGAAATGATTAAAATATGAAAGGCTATAAAGTCAACGGATAAAATATTCAAAATACTGAACCTTGGAGTTACTAATAAATAGCTTATAAGGCATTATTATTGTTATTAATATTTATTTTGATTTTTTTATGATACAATAATTTAGCAAGTCTTTCATCTGAGATCGAAGGTATATGAATGTTTTTGTTAGGAATTTATTGAAAGAGACTTTTCAAGTATGTAAACAATATTTATTAATTTAATCTATTATATTTCGATTTCTTCTATAGTCACACTACCTACCAACACTGCGGAAAGACCTAAGTGCTGTGTTGTTATGGCTACATATCATGATTTATTTTTCTAACATCACTAGCGTAACATGGACAAAGTTCTTAGTGTATGGCCTGTACTTATCAAGACATTTTTGTATTTCTCTTCAGCTGGGATTTCCAGGAATTTTTTCAATGTGTTATTGTGTTCCTTTTTTGTCATTTCAAGCGCACCTGCTATGACTGGTACTATTCTTGTTTTCAATTTTCACATTTTTTTTCTATTTCAATTTCCAGGTCTTTATACTTCGATAGTTTTTCAAATACCTTGGTTGCTATGCTACAGTCCGCTGGGTAGGCCATATCAATTAGTAGGCAATTTTTTTTCTTTTTGGCTTTTGACAATTATGTCCGGTCTATTTGCTTCAATCTTCTAACAGTGGTGTAATCCCATATAATTGTGATATCTTCTATTTCTGTAACCGGTGTTGAGTCTTCTATTTCTCTAACCGGTGCTGGGTGATGTTTATACCAGAGTTTATTAACATCTTTGTCCAGTGTAAGTATTGCCCCACTCTATCGTGCTGATTTTTATATTCATTATACGCAAGTACAGAACATCCTGAGATTAGATGGTCTATAGTCTTCTGATATTTGTCACAGAACCTGAATTTGGGATCCACTCTAGTATGTATATTTGTCTGAAAGCTTCTAGTGAAAAGACTCTGGTCTTTCTCTGTTTAATCCAGATATTCATAACCATCGATTTATGTTATCTTTCTCAACATCAGGCTTTATTAGCACTTTCTGGATATTTGGGTATTCAGAGGTTTGTCTTGCTCAGCATTGTTTCATTTAGAGCTTTATCATTGGCTTTCTTTTTCATAATTTTTGCTGTAATCGTTTATTTTTAAAAAATTTCCTTGCAAACAAAACAATTCTCCTCTCTTGTTTGTTTTTATAAAATATTGTCTATTCGTGTACACATACACACAAATATTTATAATATTCTCACATCCATTCTTATAATCTGAACACATGCATTTTTGTATGCACTGATCATAAACGTATATACATATACTAACACACACTGATACTGTTAAAATTTATGGAAATGGAAAAGTCCTTCTGTTCAATATACGACTTAAACACTGACAAAAGCGCTTTTTTATTAATTATGTACAAAATAAAGTTCTTTATAGACATATTACATATTAACAGTTGTATTAAAACTCACACAATCGACTTTACCACTACCCACATATCTTCTTTACGCATACATTAAATACACATTATTAGATTCATATACAAATATATACAAAGATCTAACACAAGTACTTTCAAAATGTTTTCTCTCTCATAGGTTACATTTTCCATTCTCATCATTTGCGAAGAGAACAAAAGAAAGAGAACGATAATACATGAGAGTGGAAAATTGATTTGATAAGTCGACAAAGTAAAAGAGAGAAAAATAAGAGAAAATGAGAGTGGGAAAGTGATTTGATACATCGAGAGAGAGAGAGAGAGAAAGAGAGAGAGAGAAAATTAGAAAATGATCGTTGTTCTTTCGATGATCCAAGATGTTTCTTTCCAACAAGTAAGCACGATGTCGGCTCAAAGATCAATCGATGGACTTGATCTTTGATAAATTCTCCATCAAGTGAGTAACCATTTGCCGGCTGTCTTCCGTGTTACATAACTTTGAAGTGTACAAGATCAAAACTGCTTCCACTCTTATTGCTGGCTGCCGACAGACACAGATTAAGCGAGACGGGTGGTCAGGGTGAAAGGCATGGAGGAGGATACGGAGAAAAGGAGCTGCGTCATATTGACAGATGACGATGCTATGATAAAAGGTAGAGAAAGAAAGAGAGTGAGCGTGTGATAGAATGATATAGAGATGAAAACGAATAATACACTTGAAATTGTGGATGTTTATAGAGAAGGCATATATAGAAATGTCTGTATGTGTGATAGTATATAGCTGTGTGTGGTGGAATGAGAATCAAGTACTTGGTGTATTAAATTGATAGGTGCGCTTGTATAACGAAATAAACAGAAACGTTTTTCTAAGAAGACGTGTGGTTATTATGAGGAACATATAGACATTTACACATGTCAATGGCGGTAGATTATAATTTATGTGTATGTGGCGAGGTAAATTGTGACTGTTGAATTGTGCCAAAACATTTGCGTATGACATAGAAACTATGTATGCAAAATGTGCTTATGTACAGAAAAGAGAATGAAAAAACTCTGAAAATGAAAACAAAAAAAGAATTGAATGCATGCAAGAGTGAATGATCCATGTTTCTGCAAGAGTATATGACAAAAATTATCTATGCATATGACATATGCGGAAACACGAATAGATGTGGGCGAATTCTGTGTTTTTATGTACAGTCTACCTCAAAGTATGTAACAAGATTGGTATATATGAATATAGTTTCAATGCAATCAAATTATTTCTTATGCCTATTTGCGATAAGCGTTTATTATTATATAACTTCTAATTCGAACTAACATGCTCATCTTAGTTTCATATGTTTCAGCCGTCGCATTCTCTGACCTACTTCAGGTGTCTGAGTTTAACTCAGACACCTGAAGTATATCTGGTCCCCTTGTAATTGTGGTTTCAATACTCGGGCCTAGTAATATCTAAAAATCACCGTTTAAGAAACGGTGAAGAAATGTGAATAAACTGCTGAGTATTAACTGATATAAATTATTCACTAAGTACCTAAAGCAGAATCAACCCTAGTGGATTGAATGAAATGTTTAGTTCAAAATACCGAGAGCTTACCGAAAACGATGCGAAGACAGACAACTGAAGAAGGTCGTATAGCAGAACGGCCAAAACGCTATGAATTTAGCAATGAAGATGAGCAATAATGTAGATGATACTAATCATTCCTTATTTTAGAAAATTCTGCTACGAATACGTGTATAGTGTTTTTATATGCATTTTTCCAATTGTAATTACTATGACGTCGACAGGATCGAACGATCGTCTTAGAATGAAGCAATATGGTTTCATAAGTGAAACTGGTTTTGGTGTTGTAAAAACAAAAGGTTGTGTCTATTTTGAATGTGTATTGTATAGTTATTAAGCAGGTCAAATATACAGTGGATTTATGCTTGAAGAGTTACAATCAAACTTTCTTTTTTCGACCGTATTCAGGATCATTGAGTCAATGCGAATTATACTTTCCTCGTCTGCATAGTATATGCTTCGTCAGGGGTGCATATAATTTTGAATTCAGAGTTTTCTTTCTTCTAGACCGGTTGCCACCCAAGGCTGTAGTATCCAGTCTGCCCTACTATTTAGTTAGGGGGGGGTGGATTCATACCTTTCCCAAGGATATAAGCACATAAGTGAATGTAATGAACTCGACTGAGATTCGAACTCGGTTCTCCGATTCCACAATGCGAGCAGCAATTCATTATTCCACCGTGGGTGAAATAGAAATCATGTGTTTAGGTTTCCCAGAGGATGAACATATGCTATTGAGAGGGAGAGGGAGTGACAGAGACAGAGATAGACAGTGAGAGAAAGATTTGCAGTGAGGTTTACATCGCAATAAAATTTAATTTACTTTTTTTACTTTTATGTTTCGTTCTTTATTTTATTGACATATTATATATTTTGTACATTCTTCAAAGTTTATATCTATAGATATCTATGCAGTGTACATATATTTACAAAGATGGAAAAATGAAACTATGAGAGATTTCATTCGCGCAGATAGGTGACATTATGCCTGTATTTAGATACTTGTTATTGTTCGTAAGTGTGAATGTTTTTATATGTGTAAGAAAGACTGAGAGAAAGAGATAATAACAAAGAATCTGTACAAACTTTCCACTTGTAGCCTTTTCTTGGCTCTCAGCCGCTTCGTAAGCCTCCATATTTCCACCTTTTTATTCTCTCAATACTTCTCTAATAATCACTTCATATTTCACAGTGGACATATTAAAAGTGTATCTGAGAGACCACATTGCTCACTGTTACCACTCTTTCCTGTTCTCGCCCCTTTTCTCTCTCCCTTTCTCCCTCCCCCTCTCTCTCTCTCCCTTTCTCCCCCTCTCTCTTTCAGTGTCTGTCTCCTAGTCGACATACTTCAGCTTCTTACTGTTTTCACTTTTCTTTTCCCACATCTGTATGTTGCTTATCCAATTTATATCTTCTTCGTTATTATTCGCGTTCTGTCATTGTACTCTTACTTTTATTTCAATGGCCTTTAGTCTTCCTTTGATAAGTTGTTTTCTTTTTTTTCCTCTCTGGGTGTAGATTTTTTTTTCTTTCTGGGTCCTTATTTTCTGTCGAATGTTTTTTTTATCTGTCTTTACCCTCTTTGTTTTTCTCTCTGTGTTTCTCTTAATGTTTCTGTTTGCCAGTTTGTTTTTTTCCTCCACATTGAGAATCTCATAAACGATCTTTAACTCACTTTTCTTCACTTACTTCGACTCTAATTGCTTCGTTTCTTCATTTCCTTTTCTCTTCTGCATCTCTCACTTTTATCTTTCTCTTCGTCTGTCTATCTATCTATCTATCTATCTATCTATCTATCTATCTATCTATCTATCTATTTTTGTTTTTCATCTCTTTTCCTTTTTCAAAACAACAAACGAATATCGGATGTCTCGCCCGTCCACGTAAAATCGAAAAGAACAATTAATGAACAGTAAATTCAGTAGTTCACACATCCTAGCTCTTACTTCCATTGCGACCCGCCGTCCACCCTCTTCCGATTTACATTCTCTTTCTCTCCTTCCCCACACTTTTTCCTTAACTCATTAATTCCTCTTCCAAATCTTCACACTTGCATCTTCATCGCATCGGCTTAGCCTTTAATCATCGCCTTCGGGTGCCGCTACATGCTACAAGCACCTCCCGAAACGGGCTCCAAGACAGCGAACAAAGATTTGCAACGTTCACTTTCAATGGTAGCGTTTGTCACGAACGCCAAGTCAGCTGGACTCCTCAAAAACACAACAGGCACATGAGAAGGAAGCGCTTTGTCAAGTCGCAATGGGTTCTGTCTATTCACTCGGCTTACTGTATTAGTGATCGGCCTGTTAGTGAGGTCTTTTAACATTTCAGATGCAACGAGTAAGTCCTGACGTTTGAACTGTTTAAGCTTTTACAGCTAAAATATTACCCTATTTTGTTGAAAAGTTTGAGCAATGTTTTAAGTTTTAATGACACAATGAAGTTTAAATTTACTCGAATGAATAAGATTTGCTTGACGAACACTCACTGCACATTATCTATTTATATCTCTCCGCTTAGAAATAGGTCTCTCCTTATACCAACTTACCTGATTAAATTCCAAACAATACGAGAGAACAATTCGTGAAACAAAACAATCTTTAATTAGTTTCTCATCTCATTTTTGATGATTTTTTTTTAATTCTAATTATGATATTTAAATGAACAACATCAATAGGAAACAAGCCCCCAGCGAAACTTGAATTCACATCCTTTACTCTTGGGGCCCTGTTTTCCTCTGACAGCGCCGATACCGATTTGGTCAGTAGGCGTCGTCCAAATAAACCTTACAGTTAAATGTTTTAACTTTCTGAGAGCTGAGACAAAAGTCAATAGAGATAACATAGAATGACTAGTGAAAAGTTACTAATGATTATCGTTCCTCGTAGATTACAGCAGTGCGTTCTGGGCAATATCCATTGCAGAGTTAACCTTTTACAATGATACAATTTTAACGGCCCTCCGTGACGTCGCAACGAAGATGACTGCCAACATAAAGCAGTAGAGAATCATAAGATTTTTGTTGTTGGTATGCAAACAGAAATTCACCAGGCGCCATTTGATGTGTATAACATCGGTCCGATGTCGTACGTTCACAGAATCGTGTTAGAAACTGTAGGAAATGCATCAACAACTGAATACAACATTGTACGTATTTAAACCTTGATTCACAATAAAAGGTGATGCAAACTTCGTGATTCGGTCGTGGAACTTGACCTCCCGAAGTTGGTGATTCATGATATCGGCCACGAGAAATTAGGTTATCGGAAAGTGTTGATTTGTTGGGCCACCTGATTAATGACTAAAGCACAAAAGTTCTAGTACATAGACATTTCTTTTCATTTTTTTAACGGTATAGGGGAGGTAATGTGGACTTTCTGAAACACATGATCGTGGGTGATGAGATCTGGATACATCAGATTACCCCAAAGACAAAGGTTGATTAATTGATCTAGACGCATCTATTGTCAGCAACCCTTCAAGAATTAAAAATCAGAAATCAGCGAATAAAATGATGGCAACTCTTTTATCCGATGTGCTGCTCGTAGACTTCATAACTCTATGGTCAAGCAGTTAATACAATCAGATATTTTGAAATACTGGGCAGACTGAAGGGAACTTTATCAAATGAGACCAGGACATTTTGCATCCTCCTCCCCCTCTTATTGCATGCCAATGCCAGTGACTCTAACGATATTGTTTGGACGTTTTATTCATCTGCCGCATAATTCAAACTTGACTCCTTCAGATTACCATTTGTCTGAACTCCTCAAATGATATTTGTCAGCAAGCGGTTCTACACTGATGACATTCGTTTGGCACTAAATCATACAATTACAGTATATAGACTTCTGAACAGATAACACAAAGGCATCAATCTCGGTAGCGGCTGAGTAGATATAGCACAATATTTTAATTTTTGTAATAAACAAGTTGGATAAATAAATGTTTAAACATTACTTTTTGTACATCCCCAATGAATATGATTCTAGAGTTAAACAACAAGTAGAAGTTAATCAGTAGGTAGAGGATTAGAATAAAACCTTTTATTGTACCACCTGCCACTGGACTGTTGATTTCCCTTCCTTTTTCGATTAGTTTAATCGCTTACGTTCAACTTGGTCCATACACGAGGAGTGGGGGTTCGTTGCTTATTTAACGCTACGTCCCCCATCTTTTGTCTCAGTTCTGATCGACTGAAGAACGCGAGAGCGTGAAACTTAAGTAGCAGCTCGAGCTGTGCCTCGTTGAGGGTTGATGCCGTGAAACTTTATTTACTCTGTGTGGATCACCTTTTATTTACTGCTTAGGTAGGAGTTGGCCTTTTCGTTTGTTTTTTTTATTCTTCTTTCCTAGCTTGATTTTTTTCTTGTGTAATGTTTTTCTTCGTATTTGTTATTTTGTTATTGGCATTTATTATTTTGTTTCTTTAGGTCTTTTGGCAGATAGAATATCGGTCACACAAAGATTTTGGATTTTTGTAGTATATATATATATATATATATATATATATATATATATATATATATAATTTATTCTAGGTTATTACATTGGAACATACATATAACTGCTACAAAAATGCAGTATTGTTTCGATGTACAACACGGCATCTCATCAGGCTGTGGTAAATGATGGTTATAACAATTTTTAAAAACTACTTATAAAACACCTGATCCTTTCTAAAAAAGAAAGACATAAGAAATAATTTTCACAAAAGGAAAGGAAAAAATACACAAGTTATAGTAGAAAAAAGAAAAGGAAGACAAGACATAATTAATAAAAAGGAAAAAGAAAAAAGAAAGAGAAATAAGAGGTGTAAGAGCAGAAACACATTGTAAATTTATGAATTTAAGATTTATAGTTTTTAAATTTAAAATTTTTAAATTTAATTTAATTTTTTTTAAATTTAGTATAGATATTTAAAATTTATAAAAGTTTAAATTACTTGTTAGTACAAAAATTGGTTTATAAGTTTATAAAAGTCCGGCTGATATCGTTACTTTTTCCATTGTTTTATTATTTTTTTTTTATATTTTGATTTTATTTTCTAATTTTTCTGGTTTTAAAATTCGATATTATTTCCATGCATTTTTTTCTTTTACTTCTTAAAGTGACTTTTATTTACATATTATGTATAATTTTTGTTAATATATATTGCATCTTCTTCAAAACATCAACTGCTCACGTTCCATTACATTGTATCAGTATTTTCTATCTATTTGATATTATATCCGGTAAATTTGAATCCTTTTTCTATAACATCTTTCTTAATGTAAACGTTTTTCATTGGTTAAACTTTAAAACAACATATCTCGTTTCTTGTCTCCTGTCTTTTTCTTTTCTTTAGAAAAGAATTTTTGATAAAAAAAGAAAATATAAATTTTCTTCTCCTTTTCTCTGGAAAAAAGAATTATGTGCTTCTTCTCCTTCACCTCATATTATTTTCTCTTTCTTCTTTCTTTTTCCTTTTTATTAAATATATCTTGTCTCCCTCTTTTCTTTCTTCTGCTATAACTTGGGTATTTCTTCCTTTCCTTTTGTGAAAATTATTTCTTATGTCTTTCTTTTTTAAAAAAGATGAGATGTTTTATAAGTAGTGTTTAAAAATTGTTATAACCGCCATTTACCACTGCCTGATGAGATATCGTGTTGTGCATCAAAACAATGCAGTAATATGCATGTTCGAATAAAAAATTATCGCTATACTTTTTGTAGTGAGCCCTCTTTTAAATTAATGTTATGAACGTTTGAATGTATATTCGTTTCGTTCTCTTTGCATTTGTGTATATATATATATATATATATATATATATATATATATACAAATACAAATGCAAAGAGAACGATGTAATATTTTTGTAGGGGAAAGAAGTATGACAAAGTGGAAAAGTTTTTGTATTTATGTTTACATTGATACGACTACACATTTTCTAGTGAAAATATTCATAATCTAAACAAAAATCTGATCAGAAAGCCAATAAAATAATTTATCAAATTCAGCAGGTTTGAAATATTAAAACTAGCTTTAGATGTGTTTTTCTTCATAGCTATCTTAAGCCTTCAGTATCTATCTATTCTTAATGATATCCAGTAGTGAAAGTATTGAATGAATTCAGTTCATAAAATTCATTCACTTGTTCAAATTTACTGTAGTGCTGTCGGTGATTATATTAAAATAAGAGTGCATTGTCCTCGGGCAAAAGGTAGCGTTGCTCAAACTAATTTAACTTGACATGGATATCTGTAAACAAACAGACAGTCGCTTAATAAAATCCTCAACCGAAAGAACTCAATTTACCTGGTGACAACAATAAAGCTAAATATGATGAGGGGATGGAGAATAATATGAAGGTATAAATGAAGCTCCAAATATGCAACGCCTCAAGCCGAAATGATAATTTCTAGTTGAGCTACGCAATCAACAACGGGTTATGTTGTTAAAGTATCTCTTCTTTAGCTCTTTATCTTTTGCCTAATTCTCTAGTTTTGTTCAGAGTAAACATGACACCTTATAATTGCCAGTAATCAGAAAAACATGGCCTAGCGGCAAGAACTTTTAAACCGATTATAGTAAATAGTAGTTGTTTGGAAAGCAAATCTTGTTTGGATATAAAATCTTCTCGTCTTGTTCACTAACAAATGTTTATCTTTCTAATGGTAAAGGGTGGGACTTTTATTAAGATAAGACCTATCTGACTGTTCGTCAAGTAGATATATTGATCTGTGTTGAAATGTCGCTACTCTTGCATGCTTTTATTACACTACCCTATTTGTTATCATACACACACACACACATATATATATATATATATATATATATA